TTCTTGATAAGTGATGCATGTAAAATTAAACTTCATAAACCACTATCATGGTCATTATTGTAGAATTTATTTTCTGGGTGGATCCCCCTTGTCCATAAACAACTTTATCATGGGGCTCCATCCGTTTCTCACTTTTTGTTCGAGTTTGTCAAATGACTAATAAAGGTCCAAAATTAAGGTATGTGAATATGTTTTAGATCATGTATTTTTTTTCAAGAATGTCATTATATGAGCCCTATGTATAATTATTTATTTTGAAGGTGAAGAAAGAAGTTAATTTATTATTGTTCACATTAAAAATTCATAATCTTAATTCTTGACTTGATAATGCCTTAAAGCATTAAAATTATGTTATTATCATGCAAGGGAAATATGTTTGCTTTACTGCCTTAGTGTATTGTTTTAATACCATAATTTAATGTTTTAGAATTCTAATACAAACATATGGATAATAAACCAATTTCATCCAATGAGTAAATATTCTTTATTTTAGTGTTTTTCAAAGCTGCAAATTATAATTAATCTAATGGGTATGGTGAATGGGGATGGAATCATGTTTAGCTCATTGTTGGAAATATTGATTATGGTAGCGAATTCATAACTTGTTATGAGTATATTAATTTTGTTCATATATATTTAGAAACAATTGCAAAAACTCCATATTATGTAAATTGGTTTTACATATATCCAATATTGTCAAGATATGTATATACTATATTCAATGTATCTAATATTTTAGAATTCACTTCCAGAAAACGGAAAAATCATGTTGTTAGTATATATATACCCATTCATCCATTCACCTATATTTGTGTATAAATATTTTATGATTATGTGAAATATTACTACGAATGGAAGAACTGTATGTTCTGCATAATGCAATGAGAATAGTGGTTTCAAGTCTTCATGATGCATGAATTATACACATAATCCCACAACTGTTTGGTGTTGTGAAATCGTAAATAAATATACATTTTTCAGTCCATTGTATTTTTTGTTTTCACTGAAAAATATTACACAAACTATCACCAAACATTGTAAACTCATTGGCTCATTCTAGTTGCCAACAATCATGAAGAACATTGTATTATGCAAATGAAACTTTGTTTTTACTACAATTGCCTATGATATTATGCTTCAAATATGTCTTCATTGTTTATCCAAATTTTGAACACATTATTAATTTGATAAATTTTAATTTTATACCAAATAATGAGTAGTATCTTTAATGTTGAGTTTAAGTGACTGGACCAAATAAAGCTTTCTTGAGTTTGGCATTTGAGTTTATTGAACACCACATCAAGCAATTGCTTGAGTTGTTGTTCAAGGAACTCAAATGCTAGATGATTAATGACTTATGTGGTGAATTTTAAGCATAATATGCATAAAAAAATGTATTTTTGTCCAAAGGTGATTGCAATATTTATGTAGCGGAGATTATTTTTTAAGACACAGTATATCCAGTATTTGGTCTAAGAAAAGTGAAACTAGTAATTGAGTAAGATGTTTATACGACCTATTGTTTTGGTGTTAGTAATGGGTGTATTGATATGTTTTATCTATGTTATCCCGTAAATAACTTGAATGTCTCTTTAGTTATGGTAAAACTCAAATAACTAAAAGGGGTAGTTCTATTAAGGTCTATAAAACTTGTACAAATACGGGAGAAACATATAATACTGAAGGGAACCTCGTTGAAAACTTTACATAAAAAAGGGCTACATAATGAGATTACCCCAAAATGAAAGAATTGCCAACAAATAACTTAAATTATTGCATTTATGATTTATAAGTCCTTTAGTAATCTTAGCGTCCTTATAAATTCACGATGGATTGATTATCGCTCCATGGTACATGTGTCTTATTTATTATAGCGATTTCATACAATCTGGAAGCTGGATCGAAGAGTTGTCAAAGTTGGGAGTGATGAAGACTTAAACATAGAAGCGGTAGCCCACCTTCATTTTTTTAGAAAGTGCGTATTGTTTAAGTATTAATGATACTATATACGTATCGAGTATAACTTAAAATTTATTATTTGTATTTGAGTTAGCGAATAATGGTCACTACTTCTCAAGTCTTGCAACTAAACTTTGATAGTTTCCATGTTTGGTCCTAATCCCACTTAAGAGAGTAAGCAATTGGCACAACTGAATTTCTTTGGTTTGTCAAGTTGACTCCTCACTATACACATTCGACCCCAACAGCTTCAAATGAATTATCAATTATGGTTATTGTCTACTGGTTCACAGTGGTCATTTGGATGTTCTCGTTTGTACTACCTTCTCTCCTAGATAGTAAATTGATAAGTTATCCACTAATAATTTGTTACTAAAGGGAATAGTCGACTTATAACTAAAATTAGTATTCGAATGTCATGTTCATTTAGAGACTCATACCTAAACTATATCATCATTGACACAAGTTACGATTGCAGATTTTTACCAAAATGATCGCTATTGTTCATAATGTCACATCACAATAATAGTTTTTGGTTTGGTCTTTATAGTTTTCAAACAGAAAAATAACATAAATGGTCCTTGCATGAGAAAAATTTACATAAATAGTCTATGTGTTTTAAATAGACAAATTGAGGTCATCATCATGTTAACTTTAACCTTAAATTAAATAGAATCTCCCATGGTAAACCTCTTATATAGTTTTTATTTTTATTTTTATTGTTATTTTGTTTTGTTTTGTTTTTGTTTTTGAATTTAACAAATTTATCCCAAACAATCTAAGATATTTTATAAAGCCCTTCTGTAACACCGTAAATTTTCCAACAAATTTTTCATTTTCAAAACACAATAAAACACATGTCACAATTCCTCAAAATCACAAATAACAATTTATCAACACATTTTTATTTAAAATTGTTTATCACAAATCCAGGAACCTCCAAACATAACTCTTTCTCTCGTGTGTACAATCGAGCCGGCGCCTTCCCGATATCATGAAAAGTACCTGAAACACATATCACATAACACGGTAAGCACGAAACTTAGTGAGTCCCCAAAATACCACACACATATCAGTAGCCTCTCATGGCTATACTCAGATAAGACCCTCCGGTCAATGTATCTCAGTGGGACCCTCCGGTCCCATAACTCGGGTAGACCCTCCGGTCCTAACTCAGGAAGCTCATAATAATAATACTCAACATAAATCACAAAGACATAATGTAGAATATCACAATACACAGATAAGCACATAATACATCTCAGTTGCACAAAGACACCACACATGGTAAGTATAGTGAGAAGACTCACCTCGAAAGCTAACAAGTAATAATCTCGCACACGGAAATCTCGAACTAGCCTCCGCCTATCACATAGGGTAAATATCTCTAATTAATACTCTATTATACACAATACCAAAAGGTTGCCCTCTCTTTCTCTTTCTAACTCTTGGATTGGGTAAAAGATCATTTTACCCCACCATGGTCTCCATTACTCATGCGTGACCAAACCCTAAAGTCTACATAAGTTAAACTCGTGTCAACAATCCATGTTTGACCCGACTCGCCGAGTGCATCCATGTGACTCGGCGAGTACCCTTGTTTCTTCTGTCATATCGCGAAAGTCCACCTTGACCCGTCAAGTTGTCTCGCCAACTCGCCGAGTCACCCATGTCTAGACTCATCGAGGAAAAACCCTAGCCGACTCGTTAACTCAGCTAATAGACTCGGCGAGTCCCTTCAATCTGATTTCTCATTCAGACGATTCAAAGCAGTTCTACTACTCCAAACACTAGATCTAGCATCCCAAGACTTCATTGTCACGTAAAGCTTCAATCTTTACGTTCATGCATGGTAGTTTCGCTCCAACATACCAAAACATGATCTCACAATGTGTTAAGCACAATATCCTTCATATGGGTGAATAAAGTTGGGACCTTTGGACTCTAGGGACCTCACAAGGTCCAGATCTGACGTCTAAACCTCAAGACAACTATGTAAGCTCTAAATCCCAAATAAAGGTGGCATAAACCCTAACCTTCCAAAATCAAGAGATCTAACCATAATAATGATAAAGGTATGAATTTTTCACCTTTTACAGAAGCTCTTGGATGACAAGCAACAGATCTAACAACCTCTTTTCGTTTCTTGCTTGAATTCCTTCTCTTCCCCTCCAAAGATGCACCAAAATACTCAATACAAGCTCACCATTCTATCTTTTAGCTCAAAAAGGCGACTAGGGTTTCTCTCAGTGAAGTTGGGCAACTCATGAGCCGCAAATGAGGCTATAAGTTCCCTTATATAGGCCCCAAACCCGGGGATTTAGGGTTTCATTATACAGCACCTACTCGGCGAGTCGGCTCTCCGGATCGTCGAGTCCGCTCATTAAACCCACGCAGTCAACTCGACTGTACTCGACGAGTTGAACTCACAACTCGTCGAGTCACTCAATAAACCCCAAAACAAACACACCATTAATATACCTAGGATTCCGGATATTACACCTTCATATATATTAAAATTACTATAAGTATTAATGTATTTGTTATGGATTTTATTAAGTGTTATTATGATACGTAATATATAATTTTTTCATCTATGATATTTACTAGAATAACTAAATAAAAAATATTCAAAACATTAAGTTAATAAAAATGGTAGTATGACATATTATTAAATAGAAAGGGACTAGTATTCAAACTAACATACTATATTGATCAAATATAGTATGTTATTTATTTTTTATTATGAAATATCATATAATCAGTTTTTATTGGAAAAAATATCCAAACACCATAATTTTATTAAATCCAAAATCTCCAAATTAGGTTATATTTAAAAAAAATACTAAATATGGATACTTCAAAATACCCTTCAATTATGTACATTTAATTTCGTTTCCTAGTAATAAATACATGCATATCTTCCAATTTAATAATCGATGACATAACATTAATTAATCCTTTGTAATTATATCATATTACCATTGTCCATTATCATATAAAGTCCTATATAAACATGGTTTTCAAAACAAAGTTTCATACAAAACTAAAACACCAGAAAACAATTGAGACATTATTTCAATTGAATCGTGTACATTCACTACAAATGGGAAGAGTTCAACTTAATTTCCTCGTCTTCGTTGTTGTTGCGTCCATGACAGTTATAGAACTCTCGATTGTAAGTGTGTGCGTATATATAGAAATTATAGTTTTCGTTGTAAATGTGTCTCAAATAAATTATAATTTTACATGTCTTTTTTGTGTTCCAGGCCGGAGGTGAAGGTTCTGTACCAATCGAACGTAAATACTAATTTAGCATTTAACCTTTTTTTCTCAATAAAATATTTCTTTTATTATTATTATTACTATTAATAAAATAACATATGCTTGTATATTTTTGTAGAATGCCCTTCCGCGTGTTCAATTCGCTGTTCTGCAACACACCATCGTAGTCATTGTATGGATGTATGCGTAGACTGTTGTGGAAAGTGCTTATGTGTTCCTTCTGGTACTATTGGAAACAAAGATGAGTGTCCGTGCTATAGAGACTTGAAAACCAAGGATGGACAACCTAAATGTCCTTAAAACCCAAAAGGCATAAATGTAACACCCTTTCTTTAAGTTTTTGTATTTTTCATTTATGAAAAGATAAATAATTACTATATCTTTTAGTTTGAGACAAACTTCATGTGTATTCGTTGTCATTTTCTTTTTCCTACCGACATGTGTTGTTTTTTAAGATAAATGAATGAGAACGTTCAATTTAAGCTTGATGAAGCACTTGAACGGTTTTGGGAAGCTATTGCACAAAATTATGATTGTCTTAAAGAAAAAAGAAATAAGAAATTTAGGAAAGTGAGTACACATCTACGTAAGGGTTCAATTTAACCAAAAGGTTTTCCAACTAAGTGTTGGAAAATAACTCATTAATGTGACCTTATGAATGTTTTATCACGCTAATTATATGTTAGGTATAATTATATTTTGTACGATAACGTTTTCTATAGTGACATATCAGGTCCTTGAACTTTAATTATGTAGTATGATGGATATAACATTGTTCTATAACTTGAGGGACTATTGTTGTATGTTTTCAACTTCATGTCCCCTGATTTATAACTAATGAATTTATTACCTAATTAATGCACGATCAAATGGAGACTCAACATTTTCTCCCTTATGTTCAAACACTCCCTATAAACACCATCATGATGAGTACAAATAGGCATCAATATATCCATCAGAAATCAGGAAGACACCATTAGTGTAAAAAAGGGAATCAAATTATAGCATCGTGTTCAACATCATTGAAGTTATCATTCTTTTCATGTAAGTGTTCTTTAAATTGAATTAAGGTTATTAATGTTAATGAATGAATTAATCTTCGATTATCTCTATTGATCTTACATGTCGTATCAGAGCCAATGTTAAATTTATATACCCTAATTTCTATTTCAATTTTTATTAAGATGATATTCCCGCCCTTATACGTATATGAACCCTAAACTTGATAATGGCCTAGCACAAATTAAGTTTTATCATAAATTGTTTAGGGTTGTTTTCTTTATAAGCGGTGCATGTAAAATTAAACTTCATAAGCCACTATCATGGTCATTATTGTTGAATTTATTTTATGGGTCGATCCCCCTTGTCCAGAAACGAATTTATCATGGGGCTCCATCCGTTAGGATCAGATATTCGACTGTCTATAGGATCTAGCGTTATGTTTGATTAGCATACACGAGTGGCTGCAGGGTTGGTAGAAGTTTCATGAGTGGGTGCAGTGTGCAGCGGGTCAGCACAAGGAATGGTTAGCCACTCTCGAGAAAGTGAGGGCAGGTCGAAGGTGTATCCGAGGTGATGGGATTTAGATATCAGGAATTTCGTATGAGAATCCGTCTGATTTTATTGTGTTTTAGTGCATTCGACTCCACTGCTCGAATGTTGCTTGCGTTGTGCTTTGTGGGGCTCACATTGATGAGGGATGACCATCGAAGGAATACACTAAGTTATATGCTATGAAGGTTAAATAACCTTAGAGTGAAGGATTCGACCCTATTGCGCAGCTCTCGTTTGAGTCTAACAGTTGTAGGGTTGGGTCCTTTAGTTAAAAGATTATTTAAGTTTTGTTGCATGTAATTGTATTCATGAAGTGGTTAACTGACATTGATTGGAGTTCTTCAGCAGCTGATGTCAGGGGAGGCGGGGAAATCCTAAGAGAGTCTAGGAAGTATTTTGTGCGGTTGTCTCGCTGTTGAGCGGGTTCTGGGAGTATTATCATGAGTAGGTTTTAAAGGACCTGAGGTGATCCTTGAGGAAAGTATGGATAGGTGTGGAAGGTAGTATTGGGCCCGTACTACTGGAAGCACAGGATGCATACTTGAATCGAGGAAAGTTTTGAGGATTTTAAGGGCTGGTCGGGGAAGATAGCATGGTTGGATATGATAATTTGCGGCAGTGTTTCTGTTCCTGTTAATCTTTCAGTTGTGGCTGTTCAGGCACGTAGATGGATCTGGTAAGTGTTTTGAGCCCCATTGGCGTTATTGATTTGGGTTGTTTGGTGCAGACCTAGTGAACTTTTGGTTGAGGCCTCGGGGGTTTTGCTCGAGGTCGGGTATTCGGGTCGCGGGACTCATGAAGGAGATGATTATTATGACTCAAGTTGGTTTGGATTCTCAGGTTGAGTATTTTTAGCCGTTGAGGGATTTTCCAGTTCATTGTCGGATTGATGTTTTCAGATTAGTTGGGCAGCCGTTGATCAGTGGATCTTTCCAAGAGCAGGTATGTTCAGTTCCATGTGGGTCTTGATTCATTGGATTAAGTGTCAATGTGTCCTCGACCACTTGTTGTGGGGTTCATCATTCAGTAGAAGTTTGATCGGAAGTTTAATTGTGTCATCTGAGATGCAGTGGTCGGGACAATATGTCATCAAGTTCAGTATGATCTATGTTCTTTGGGCCTTCGAGTGTGTTTACCCTCAATGGTGGAGTAGGAACTTGGTTCATTGCAGAATCAGGTTTTAGCAACCTTTGAGATCCGTGGAAGTCTTCTCGAGCTAGTTGTGTAGTGATGGAATCCATTCAGTCTCAATCAAGTATGGGATCTTGTTTCGACTGATTGTGGGGATGTTTTATGTTATTGATTGAGGTATTATTCTGATTATCTCTGCATTCATTCTCTCTTTGGATGAGATTATGGGTTTCTTAAGTATGTGTATGGGGGTAGTACATGTAAGATGGGCAAGATAGCATTAGAGCACTTGGTTCGAATTATGTGCATGATTCTTTTGGGTTTTAGCCTTCGAATCGGGCCATGAGTGCAACTATTTTCCTATTCGCGGGTGGCATGCGATCATGTTTTGTAAGGTTTGCTTTGATAAAATCTTTATGGTGCTCAGTTGGCGTTATGAGGGAATTGATTAGGTCCCTTCAAGGAAATGGAATGAGGCGAGTATCTTTGGGCATGGAGTGCTGGGCGAGCGATGCGTTGGCGTCAAGGTCGGTGTGATATTGGGAGCATTCCAGACATGGGCTGAGGGCTAGGGAGGGCATTCCAGACTCATGTTGTGGGCTCGGAGGCAATCCAGATCTATGCTGAGGACCTTGTAGGGATATTCCAGTCATAGGCTGAGGGCCTAGTGAACATGGTTGTTCATTTCTTCTTCTTGTGGTGCTTTCGGTGTCGACACACCGAGGGGAGACGAGCGAGTCACAAACCTGTTGGTTGGATAAAGGAAGCAGTAAGGGTTAATAAGGTTTTTGTACATCATATGGTTTGGTTTTGGGTGAAGATCGTGGTCAGTATGTTTCGAGGATTAGTTCTACATGTTTCTGTTAGTGTCTCCAGCCAGGGACTAGGGGCAGATTCATAATTGGGTGCTCATCAGATGTAGGTAAGGGTCTTCGAGAGGAATATGAGTGGCCATATTCGAATGGGTTTTTGGTGAAAACTTGTGTTAGGAATCGTAAGTGTATTCGTGCAAGGTCTATACTCAGAAAGATGTAGATCAAGAAATTTGGATGTCAAAGACCTCAGCTGGAGGGTTCAGGATTTAGTTTATGTGTTTGTACTCAGGGATGGTTTTACCTGTGTAAAGGTCGGGCAAGTGATGAGGTTTCAGTATTATAGTTGCAGCATGTCGGTTCATCAGTTAAGGAAATCAGTATTTCGTAGCCATTGTGTTCATGGAAATTGTTATCTTCAGGATGAGATTTCTCTCGAAGGAATATCTAATCCTTTCTGGTCGAGCATTGGGTTGTCGGCAGCAACAGTTGGTATGCGTTTTTTTTCTAATAGGAATCTTAGGTAAGCAGGATTCGAGTAAATAGTTCGATGGATAAGTGTAACATTGGTTCAGTATGGGCGGTCTGTTAGGGAGTCAGACCAGTTCGAGACTTCAGGCTTCAGATAAGTAGATTGGGTTTCTTCAAAGGATTGTGGAATTGCCTTCTTTGAGTGGAGTATTCTGCTGGGTTCAGTTGCCTTGGGAATGTAATTGTATGGTCAAGGTTGTGGTTGTGCCCCTCAAGCTGTCGGGCTTGTCGGGGATGATAAGGAATGACTTCGAGGACAAAATCGACTTTAAGTGGGGGAGAGTTGTAATGCCCCGGTTTTCAGGCATTTTCAAATTCATCTCTTGATTTTAAAGTGTGTCATTTTGGTCCTTGTTTTGGAAGGAAGTGGTCACAAGAAGCCCTAGTGGCAAAATGGTAATTTTGGGAGAAGGTGTGGTATGCTAAGCGTACATGTGAGTACACTAAGCGAACTAGGGTGTGACCTAGTATGCTTGGCGTACTCTTGTCCGAAAGAAACCCTAATTTTTAGGATTTTTTGGGTATTTAAGCACCTTTATGGATCATTTAGCCTCATCTTTTCAGCCTCCAAGCCCTTGAGTCGTTTTTTTAGCAAACCCTAACCCCATAAGAGAGTGTCTTGAGCTAAAAGTGTGTTCTTTGTATGCTTAATGAAGAGGGATTTGCATCAAAGAGATTAGTAGTTGAAGCAAGCTTTTGGATATTGGATCATCACCTTCTTGGGAAGCTCCAGAAGGTAAAAAGTTGCTACCTTTATGCTTTCTTTGCTTGGATCTAATTTTGGTAGCTTTATGATGTTCTTTTTGTCCCAAAGTCCCATTGTTATGCATGTATGGTTTTGGTCATTTTGGGTTGTCCTTTCAGACCCTAGGAAGGGTTCTAAGCCATAAAAATGAGGCCCCTTTAACTAGTTTGGCTCCATGCTTCTTGTAGAAGGTCTTAATGGATTAAGACCATGTATTAAGGAGTTTTTGGACGTCTAAAGTCATAAAGTTGGAGACTTTATGACCCTGGAGTGCATTTGGATCATGGATCTGAAGTTTGGGCTTAAGTGCTTAAGCCATTAAGCACTTAGGAAGAAATTGAGTCTTGCGAGGGTATGCCTCGTGCAGGGAGGTTGTAACGCCCAGACTCTGGTACGCATTTAGTTACAAATTATTCTTGTTTGAAAGGCTACTCGATGAGTTGGAAGCCCCACACTCGTCGAGTAGAAGTTAGTCTTGGACACGGGATTCAACCACCTACTCGACGAGTCAAGAGCTTTGGACTCGGCGAGTAGGCCTGGCAGAGTCAACAAAGCCTATCTTCCATACGTATACCTGGAAGATCCTAGACATAGAGCAACATCTTAGGAAACATGAAACCAACCCATATTTTTTGTTTATGGTACCGGATATGAAAGATAAATATGA